TGATCGTCTGTGGTGTTGAACAGTGTAGGCACTGGAGGGAGAGCGAACACTGAGTCTATTTAAAATGTCTTATAATGTCTGTGTGGACCGCTGTCCTGGAGGGTGAAGTGTTCAGTATGTGAAGTGATGATGAGCAGGCGTGTGTGTGTGTGTGTGTGTGTGATATGAGGATGTCTTATTCTGCTGTATATGATCGACACTGGCTGATGATGGTGTAGAAAAGTCACTGAAACACATCATGAGGAGCTCCCTCACTGTAACTCATCATCATCATCTTCATCATCATCTTCATCATCTCTGACTGTACTCAAAGCTTAGTTCATAGAGGATTCATCATCACGATGACGCTCAGTGTGAGAGAACACGTTCACTTTACCCCGGCATCCACAGAATAAACCATTTAAAAATCAATCTTCAAGAGCAGCCGTTTCTGCAGTGTGTGTGTGTGTGTGTGTGTGTGTGTGTGTGTGTGTGTGTGTGTGTGTGTGTGTGATTATCTGGATAACATCTGCTGTTTCTCATTAAACTGAGTGATCTGAAGGTAAATGCTACATGCTAATATCCTTCATGCAGCGGTCGTACGGCTTCACTGTCCTCTTGTGTGTTGATTCAGAGGTCAGAGGTCAGCTGCACAGGGTAGGGATGACTGATGTGAAACTGAAGTTTTGACACAGTGTCGAGATCCTGAAGCACAAGTACAGCGATTCAAAGCATGGCACATGTCAGAAGTGTTTCGAGACCTGGCGAATGTGTTTGATTGACAGGTTCAGGAAACCCCGCCGTCTCCTATAGCCCAGTGCAGTGCTGCCGGAGCGGGGGTCGAGGACACTGACAGGGGGTCGCTTGGTGATTTCCAAAAGTCAAATAAATGTTATTAAACTATTAGAATGAGCATATTTGAAGCATAACCCACCGAGGATAACAATAGTAGTTAAAACCACAGCATGCGGATGAGCAGCCGTCAGCCTTCAATGGTGTTCTTCACAGGATCGGTGTGTGTTCATGCTAACAGCACAGTGCTGGGGTCAGCGGCAGAAGACTGATTATACAACACCAGGGTGAGACTTTCTGACATCTTTATGTCAATCAAATACATTCAACATAACAAAGATGACTACAGGCCCTGACTGAACGCTGAGGAGGACCTCTGAGTCTGCAAAATGCAGCCAGTAATAGACGAGTTGAAAGCATTGTGTCCAGCAGTCTCGAGCTGAGGCTAATATTAAATCCCACACAGCAATAAATGACTATATAAACTATAGATAAATTACCTGTTGTAAACATTCAGGATGCGTGCGCAGCGAGGTTGCAGGAAGCACCGTGAGCGCGAGCATTTACAGTGAGGGAATGACAGTGATGCGGTGCAGAGTCTGTTGCTGTATTAGAGATAAGCTATATTGATGACATATTATATATATTAGAAATTGTGACTTGTGTATTTTAATAATGTTATTTTTAAGACCTAAATATTGAGACGTCAGAGCAATGTCCAAAACAAAACACGCAACCAGAACTGAGCATTTACAAACTGATGTCTACAGCTGCATCAGCCGGCATTCAAACCCAATATCTCTGCAATCTGGCAACTCTCAGCGCTCCACTTAACCACCCGAAATCTCCATTCTACAGTTTAGGGTTAATTCCTCTGCTACTGCAACTGTTTCTGTGCTGAAGCTGATCCAGGGCAGTACATAAGAATGACCACCAGGTGTCCCTGTAGAGACACACACACACGCACACGCGCACACGCACACACACACACACACGCACACGCACACGCACACGCACACACACACGCACACACACACACACACACACACACACACACACACACACACACACACACACACACACGTCTACTGTGTGCAGGTAGTATTTATTTTATTACAAAGAGTATCAAAATCACAAACATGACAGACATTATTCAGACAATATTAGACAAACAGACCTAAAGCTAACCATGTGCACCATAAACAGCCATCTAAAGGCCAAACACTGGCTTTGAAAGGCACTTTGAGCAGTCTGTGTGTGTGTGTGTGTGTGTGTGTGTGTGTGTGTGTGTGTGTGTGTGTGTGTGTGTGTGTGTG